TTCTGATAAGATCTCGGTGACCCTGCGTTTCATGCTGCACAGATGCATGTCACTAAGAGAGAGTGATTGCCCTTGGGGTTGGCTTCAACCTAAACTGTCAGCTGCTGAGGTGTGGTACTTAACTGCATCAGCCACCAGGAAAGGCACATCAGTCTAATCCACTTCTTGTTACCCTGCTTTGCTTGCTTTTGGTCTTTGGCTTCCGTGTCTACACAAAGCACTGTCCTCAGCCTAGCATACCTCATATTCTTTTCTCGTTCGCTCCTTACCCAGCTGTGTTTGCTCTTTTTGGAGAAAATAGTTGGCTTTCAGCTGCTCCATCAGAACCCCACAGCCCTGCCACAGGGCCATTGTGTTGCCCACCCTTCCCCAGGGCACCCCTGTCAGGCGTGTGACTGACTGCATCATCTCCCCTCTCTCTTCTCTCTGCCCCAGATCAGTGGACCATCCCCTGCCCGGATCCTCTCTCTCCACAGACTTTGGCAGCTGGCAGATGGTAACGGGCTGTGGCAGTATTCAGGAACGGGCTGTCCTGCACACAGACTCCTCTCTCCCTTTCAGCTTCCCGGATGAGCTCCCTAACAGTTGTCTGTAAGTGTCTTGCTTGAGAAGGCAGGATACTCCCCTGCCCATGTGAAAAGCGGGAGAGCAGTCAGGAGTGCTGGTCAGGAGTGAAGCAGAGGCTGACCAGAGGGAGCAGCTTAGGATCTCTGTCCCTCCCCCATTTGTCTGCATGCAGCCTCTGGATCCCCAGGGTGTGAAGCATACCTGTGGCAACTCAGGAAGTGCATTAGACTTGGTGTTCACTCTTCTTGGCTTCCAAAAACCCATCCACAGATGTGTCAGGTGTACCCTGAGGGACAGCTAGCTGGACTATAACTGTAGAGGATCCTGTTTATGTATGAGGGGTTTGCCTGATAGAGAATCCTTTGAAAACTGAACAGTAGGGTAGGAAACTAGGTGATGTTGAAGGCCAGGGCAGAATGGCACTGGGTTAGCCTAGGTCTGCCATCGAGCAGAACCATGAGTTACTGTGAACCCCACTCTTCCACTTTTGCCTCAGCACAAAAATAAGACACTGCTAGATCACATGCCTCCTTCCTCTGGGGAAGCCACATGTCCCCTTGCCAGCTTTGGTGGCTGGTGTAGATGCCAGGCAGGAGAGAACTCCAGAGTCCTGATCCTCAGATGTAGCTACACAACAGGCCCTTCAGTAAGCCTTACTTCTCACCACCAACCATGCTGGGATGGCTTGAAATGCTAGGAACTCAGCCTGTCACCACTACTGGAATCCAGTTTACAACACTCAACCCTTTGCTGTCTGAGTGGAGGCAAGTTACTCTGAGGGTCCACCTGAAGTCAGGCAGGGGCTAGACAGACACTGGATAATGCTCTCTATGGGAGGTCACCATAGGGCTTCCAAAAGCCATTGCTTAGTCCAGCCTCCCTGACCACTAGTCCTCAGTACATAAAACTAGATCTTAGATTATTTAATGTTTTTGAGACAGGATCTCTAGCCCAGGTTGGCCTAGTATAGTAGTAACCAAAGGTCACCTTGAACTTCTGATCATCCAGCCATTATTTACCTCTAAATGCTGAGATTACCCACATATGCCTCCAGACTTAATACATGTGGTGGTCCTGGGGATGGAACTCTGTTTCATCCGTGCTAAGCAAGCACTCTACCAAACAAGTCACATCCCCAACCCATTTCTCCCCACCCCAGGTCTGGAAGTTCTCAAAGGACAGCAGATTCTGTAATCTCAGAGCCTCCAAGATTGAGTCTGGGTCTCTATTCCTTGTGAAGACACCCTTGGACTTTGTTAGGAGGAAGCAGTCTAAATCCTAGCTACTTTGTTCTCCATCTGTGTCTTGAAGTGTCGGCCTTGACTTTCCCAACCCTGTTATCCTGCTCTTGAGAGAGACGGTTGCTGTACCATGTACAAACCTTGCCTGTTTGTGTCCTATGTACACCAGTAGCCTGTCTCGGTTTTCTTGTCTCTAAACAGATTGGTCTTTGTCCCTTCTGCTGCCTGAAGGTGGAGGGCCATGTGAATACACATGTAGACCCCTAGATAGTCCTTATTCCTTGTATATGGATAGATATCCTGTTCTCCAGTGAAGCAGAACACAAGCTGAGAGGCATGCACATGGCCTCCAGCCTGAGGAAAGCCTATTAGAAAGATTCAAGGACATGTGTCTCCCCACAGTGTCCCAGAGACCTCAGGGTTGCAGGGATTGGCATCACCTTATTTTCCTTGTGCTGCTGGATTGGTTTAACTTTGCTTTGCCCCCTGCTGCTGCCTTTTACTGCTCACAGACAACTCCCACCAGCCTGTTTCCTCAGGACTTGTCTGTATTACCTCTATTGGCCTCAAGACTGTCCTCTGTTCCAGACTTCTGTTTTCCTAGGACCTGGCTTACTAGGAAGGGGGCACATTGCTGTTAACCTCTGACAAAGTCCCGGGGAAGGATTCTCCAAGGATGGCTTTCAAGAGGGCAGAAAGTTAGAGTGAGTTAGTGGTCCTTGTTAGTCTCATGCCATGGTGGATGGGCTGTGGAGACTCATCTAGACCTATATAGCCCTTAAAGAGGCTCTCCAGCCAACCCTCTAGCAGAATGTACATATATCTGACCTTGTGCAGAGGATGGGTGGGTGGTATCAAATGATAGCCTCAAGCCTCTTCTGTTACAGACCCTAGGGTGTCAGACAACCCCATGTGGAGTTCACACGTGGATAAGCCTGAGTTGTGTGTATTTAGTTCCCCTTTTGACCTGTAATTCCAGACAGTGGGGTGAGGCTTTTGGTCTGCCATGATCAGTGCCCTAACAGGGAGGGGGAAAGAATCAGAGCAACACCTTTCCAGTTGTTTGCCTGGGAGGTCCCAGGACTGCGGTGCAGCTGGAGCCCAGGCTTTCCACTGGAAGATCCTGGCCTCTTCAGGGCAGCTTAGTTTCCCATGGCTAAAGCTCCTTCCAGGGGGTGTCTGGCCCTAGCCACAAAAAGGCTGTAGCCTGCTAGCAGCTGAGACCCACTGCAATGTCTTGAGAGTCTCCTTACAGGCAGGCAAATGACTTGTGCCTCAGCTTGTTCTTAGAGGGAATGGGAGCCAACAAATGTTGGAGCAAATATGCCACTGCTCAGCTCCCCCTTCTCTATCATCACCAGGATGACTGTTTACCCAGCAGAAAGTAGTAGTTAAGTCAATGCTCCAATAAAAGTTGTTCTGCAGTGGAGAGTAGATTGAGAGCTGAAATTTACTGTGACCGGGAATATATGTTGAGTCTGGGTCACAAGCTAGGTGCTGACTTTGTGCGGTTAGAAGTTTGAAGCTAGGCCATGTGGAATGAGGTTATTTAGATCCTGTCCTACAGTATATTCATATATATCCCCTTCTGTCCCTCCCCCCTCTACAGACTTACAGCCCTGAGTGACCGGGAGACGAGGCTGCAGGAGGTGCGCTCTGCCTTCTTGGCTGCATACAGCAGCACAGTGGGACTTCGAGCAGTCGCCCCCAGTCCCTCTGGTGCCATTGGAGGCCTGCTAGAACAGTTTGCCCGTGGTGTTGGACTCCGGGGCACAAGCACCAGTGCCTTGTGAAGTTGATCGCACACAACCATTTCCTGCTCCTGCTTCAGTTGAGCCCACAGTGGAGTCAAGCCATGCCTGGCAAAGGGGCCCTTGGAGAACAGGGGGAAATGCCACACCCTCCATCTCTGTCACGCACATGGTAGCCTCAAACCTGGGCAGCCTGAGGATGGGGTTTTCTAGCTCCCAGCCTCCTGGCTGGCAACCACTCTCGTCACTGCCTCCCACCAACCCTGGTCTTTGGATTCCTATCAACTATCAGAACTCTGTGGGGTTATCCTAGGGCCTCATGGAGGTCATGATGGTTATAGAAGATCCCATTCTGCAATTTTTGTTTCCTGGGAAGGAGAGTCACCCGCACTGAAAATGAGGCAGTTTCACACCAATCACAAAATAAAATCAGTCTTTTTGAATGGCTTTTGTCTGGCATTTCATCTGGCTGTGACTGTCATGGAGCTGCTCATAACCTTGCTGTCCTTTCTTGGGCTGAATGAAGGGTGGGACTGGGGAGTTGTGATGCAGGAAAGCTAGACCTGGTTTTGTCTTTTTTTTTTTTTTTTTTTCTATGCTGGGGAAAGAAACCAAGACCTTGTGTATGACAAGCCAAATACTCTACCACTGAGCCAAATTATGAGTCAACTCAAGCCATAAAGTGTGCCATATGGATTCGTAAGACCGAAGGGGGAGTAGGGGTCAACAGGCCCGAGTGGGCTTGGTGACAGCCACTACTCATCGCTGCAGGTTCTGAAGCAGCGTCCTGGGATGGACGCTCTGAGCTAATTAATAGTAAAGAGACAGGCTTCTGGACCTTGGAGGCAGCAGTGGACTCACAGCGGGGGAGGGGTCTGCTTTGTGAGTGTCAAGTTTCAAAGGCATCAAGCTAACTAAGGGTTACATAGAGTTCTTCACCATTCACTGACCCTCTCACACTTGTTCTAGGGATCGAAACCAGGGCTTTGCATTCAGTAGACAAGTGCTGAATGAGCTATGTCCCCAGAGCCCTGATTTGACAGGCCATTGGTGTAAATACCCAGAGGTCACTAAGCCTATTTAAAATACCCCAGTAGCTGCTATTAGATCCTTAACCACTAATATTGAGTAACTTGTTCAAGGTCACTCAGGTATTAAGAGGAAAATGTAGGCTTCATAGCCAGAGACAAAGGTGGGCTGGAAAGAGGGAATGGAAGAGAAGTTGAGAGCCCCTAGATCGGAGGCCACCAACTCCCGCCTGCCACCCCAAATGTTTCAGAACCATGGACAGTGCTGAAGTTTTCAGCCTTTCCGTGTTGGCTCCAGAGGAAGTGTAGTTCAGAGTTGGGGTCTGGGTGAGGTTCCCAACCAGCTCCATCCAGACTGCTCCAATGGGGCGGGGGCCGCCCGCAGGGCCGGGCGGGGCTGTGCTGCCATCTGGAGCCGCTGCTGCCAGCGGCCACTGTCAGGGCGCCAGCAGCCGAGCGCACACACGGCTGGAGAGAGCACCGCTGCCTTGGCACATGGGCGGCCCCTAGCTCAAGCGGCTGGGGTCTCGCAGCCCTACCTCCTATCCCCCTCGGCTTTGGCCACTGGATCAGTCATGTCTCTCGGCGGAGCCTCGGAGCGCAGCGTCCCGGCCACCAAGATTGAAATTACTGTGTCGTGCCGGTGAGCAGTGAGAGGGCCGCGTAGGGGGGGCTTAAGTACTGGCAATGCCCCAGCCCCATGCAGCTCCGAGCTTGCTATGGGTAGGGGGCCAGATCACAGAGAGGATGACCAGAAGCGGGGAACAGAGAACCAAGGCTGAAGGCGGGAGTCACTGGCAGGATGAAGGGGGGGGGTGTCTCCCTGGGCAAGCCCCACCCTATAAAAGCGGGCTCAAGCCTACCGTTTGGAAAGGTGGGCTGCACGGATTCCTCAAGAGCTGGGCCACAAGGGGCCAAAGTTCTGGGGCGAGCCGCCTTCCTGGGCCCTTGGAGACAGTGAGAGCACATAAGAAGCCAATTGGCAGAGATTTTTGGTGCGGTTCCAAATGCTCAGAGTAGACCCCAACACTCACTGGGGATAGTAACTAGGAGGGACTACGATTTGAACCCCATGTCTCTTCCGGCTACTCAGTTTAGGGCTGTGTCAAGGCGGTGGGCTGCAGAATGATCTAGCCCTCTGTCCATCTGTTTGTTGCTTTTCTCTAGGAATCTGCTAGACCTGGACACCTTCTCCAAGTCGGACCCCAGTAAGCGGCTCCAGGGCCTGGAGGAGGAACCCGGGGTATAGAAGCGGGTGGGGAGGTGAGGGGTGCGGGTTGACCTGACGAGCTCCCCTCCCCTGCCCCCACCCGCAGTGGTGGTGCTTCACACGCAGAGCCGGGCCAGCCAGGAGTGGCGGGAGGTGAGTCCCAGAGCCCCAGCCCAGCTCAGGGCTGTTCCCGGGAACCTTCAGCCCAGCTGCCCGCGCTTATCCTTCGTCCTCCCGCCCAGTTCGGACGAACGGAGGTGATTGACAACACACTGAACCCAGACTTCGTGCGCAAATTCGTCCTCGACTATTTCTTTGAAGAAAAGCAAAATCTCCGCTTCGATGTGTGAGGCTCCTAGAATCCTGTCTTGGTCTACTGCCCCTCCTCCCCAACCTGGAGCAGCAGGGAATTCTGCCTGGTCCCGCCCCCTGGCCTCACCTTCCCTACCTGACTCCTCCCCCCGGCCCAGGCCCTTTTCCAAAGGGCACCATTCTGGTCTCAACCCCGCCCCCAGACCAGGTTGGCTCCGCCTTTGGCAGGATCCAACCTGTCTCTCCCCACCCCCTCACCCCGCAAGCCTGGCCCTGACTACAACCCTGACTTCTAATTTAGCTCCATCTTGGTCTCCAGCCCCTCCCATGCAACTCCTTTCCCACCAAGCTTCCACCTTGACTTCACCCCAGGCTTGACCCTCTCGACCCTGACACACATGTCCCAAACCAGACCAGATTGAATTTGGGTCTATTGTCATCTCTCCACCCACAATTTTAACCAAGACTGAACCTAACCTCTTCCAGACTTTCTCCCACCCAGCCCCACCCCACACCGGTTCCACTCTCTTCCCAGGTACAACGTCGACTCCAAAGCCAACATCTCCAAACCGGTAAGCCAGCAGTAGCTGGCAGGTTGCCTGGACACTTAGAGAGGCTAACCTGTCAAAGGACTTTCCCGGAACTGCGCCCCCCCACCCACCCACACACACCTGCCCATCAACCCTTCTTAGGAGCCCCTCTGGCCTCCCGCCAGTCCCCACCCCTAGCTCCTCCCCTGGTCTGCTCCAGCTTTATTCACTGCCATTCTTCCTTCCCTGCCTACTTCCTGGGACCTGCAGAAGGTGAGGATGCAGTGGGCTGCACCCGGAAGAATTTGGTTGGGAAATCATCATCAAGAAGCAGAAAACACACTGACCTGTGACTCTGGCAGTGGTCCTCTGCCACATGCACTTCAGTTACCTTGATCAAGAGCAGCAGCATCACCTGGTGGGCTTGGGACTCATTGTCCCTCCCCGACTGGCTGACTCCTTATCTTGGCACAGGATTTCCTGGGACAAGCGTTCCTGGCCCTAGGAGAGGTGATTGGAGGCCAGGGCAGCCGTGTGGAGCGACCTCTTACGTGAGTGAATGGAAAAGGGTCCAGGGGAGGGAGGGTCTCTTTGAGTACTGTCTCCCAGCAAGGCTGCTAGCAGAGTCTGTAGGGGCTGCAGAGACTGTCCAGCAGAGCTATGCCTCGCTCCCTTTACTGCTGTAGAAAGTCCAATCCCACTCAAATCAATGTCAAAGTCTGATTCGATCTTTAAAGCTTTCTTCCAAGCCCCACTCCACTGGGAAGCTTCCTGGAATAAGATCAAATCCTCAGGTCTTGCCACTACACCCACTCACTAGATGATGCCTTAGCCGCATTTCAATGCCTTGTCCTGGTTGAGCACCCCTAGATTCACCTGTTCCACCACTGTACTGGACATGCCTCGCACCCACTGTTTAATGGGCTAAAGTTGTAAAAGTGAGCCAAGCTAGTTGGAGGGAGGAGGTGGAAATCAGTGCAAAACAGGCAGTGGACATAGTAAGTGATATATGGAGGGAGGAATCAAAGAGAAGGTGTAGAAAAGCAGGTAGGAGAGAGAGGGTGCCATGTTCAGTCACTTGGTCAACTGGAAGGCTAGTAACCCTGGAGCAGTGCCTGAACGTGAAGAGTGAGCCTTGCCAACATAGAGGAAACAATCCTAATCAACCCACATCACAGCAAACTGGCCAGCGAGAGTGGAGCCGAGACAGACAGGGCAGGAGGCAGCAGGTTAGAGAGTTCCCAATCAGGGCCTAGTGGTTTGGTGCATGGTGGCTCACCCCTGTATCCCAGCGCTCAGGATACTGAGGCAGGCAGGTTGCTATAAGTTGGAGACCTGCCCAGGTAACATAGTGAGCTTCAGGCCAGCCTGTGCTACAGAGTAAAACCTTGCCAGACGGAGACAGAGAATATATGAGCCAATTTTGAGGGAGTGATTCAGCATGAATTCATGTGTTATATTAGATTCTAAGTTTTAAGATCAGATTCCCTCCCCTCACATTGCTCCCATTGCAAGAAAAAGTTGTTGTTTTTATGTTTTTAAGAAAGGTACTGGAGTGTAGACTGTATCCTTAGTATACATGTGGCCCTGGGTTTGATCCCAACACCATAAAAGGAAGGAAGAGGAGGAAGTAGAGGAGAGGGGACCAACCACACCTAATGCTGCTGCAGCTCAAATAAAATGAGAATTAGAAATGACCTTCATATCACTGCTGGCTCTGAAAAAACGAGGTGGAGGCTAGGAGAGGGTGGGAAAGGAAATAGGAGCCAGAGAAATTTCAAGGAGTTTTTGCTGCAAAGGGAGAGAAGTATGTGGCAGACCTGGGGTCAGGAATAGGTTTTACAGGGCTGGTGACATGACTCAACAGCCACCATGCCTGATGATCTACATGATAGAAGGGGAAAACCAAATCCCACAAGTTACACACACACACACACGCGCGCGCACACGCACAAAATGATTCTCATCTAGTAATCCCAGCACTTGGGAAGCTGAGGCAGGTTTTGGAGTTCAAGGTCAGCTTGGGCTATATCATGAGAACCTTTCACAAGAAAAGAGGAGATTTATAATTTTTTAAATTATGTTTTTAAATTTGCATAGTAATAGATTTCATTGTGGCATCTTTGTATCAATATGTAGGCTTGTGATTTTCTAACATGAGGAAAATCATAACACATTTGTAATTTGATGTGACTGAGCCAGTAGAAACTGAGATGCTGATGGAATAAACAGAAGGGAAAACAGGCAGGTGTGGTAGCTCGTGCTTATAATCCAAGCACTCAACAGGAGGACTGCCACGAGTTTGAGGCCATCCTGGGCTGCATAGACAGTTCCAAGCAATCCTTAGCCATAGAGAATCTCAAAGAAAAAGAAGAGGGAACATTGCTGGTGTGGTGTCCTTGCGAAGACAAGACCGAGTGCGGTAGTAGTTAGCAGAGGGGTAAAGAGTCACGTGACAGTTCATTTATAGCAGCTGTAGGAAGGCTCAGCCATGTGGGTGAAGATGCTGGTGGCAGGGTAGCATGGCAGTGGGTGGACCATCTCTTCTGGTTGCTTCAGTTTTGTCAGCAAGTGGGAAACCAGGTCACTGGCTGAGAGAGGATGGGAGAAGGCTCTGATGCTTTGAGGAGAGAGGAGTGACAGTTCTGTGTAGCAGAACTGGAGAGAGAGGGACCATAAGAGGCTATGAGATACTGGCCAGTGGTAAGGACCTGCGGTTTGTAGCCAAGTGTTTAAAATCGAGGCTGGTTTGCTAGATTGTGTGGCCGTGCTCTACTGTGTGTGCAGTAAGGGTTAGACAGAGTTGGATTTGAACAGGACTGAGGTTCTGCAAATTAGTATATTAAAGTGAGAGTAGCACTGAAAAGGAGTCAGGAAAGGAGACTGCAGTTCACTCTGGGTGAAGAGGGCGAGGAGACCATGGGGAGAATGGAAGGCAATGGGGTCAACAGCCGGATGGTTCGCTGTGCTGGGCAATGGCCCTATCCACAGTAGATACCCTCCTGTTAAAGCTTGCAGGGTTAGAATTTGAAGGAACTTAAAAGGCTAGCTGGGAAGTGGTAGCACACACCTTTAATCCTAGCATCCAGGAGGTAGAGTCAGGTGGATCGCTGAGTTCGAGGCCAGCCTGATCTACAGAGCAATTTCCAGGATTGCCAAGGCTACACAGAAAAACCCTGTCTTGAAAAAAAACTAAAAAAATAGTTCTTTTTATTTACTTATTTATTATTTTAATTCTGTTGTTGTTGTTGTTGTTTGAGACAAGGTTTCTTCATGTAGCCCAGGCTGTTCTCCTGCAACTCACGCTGTAGACTAGGCTAGCCTTTTTAGTATTTTTTATGAGACAAGGTTTTTTTTTTATTTTATTTCAGGTGCATTGGTGTGAGAGACTGAGATCCCCTGGAACTACAGTCATAGACAGTTATGAGCTGCCATGTAGGTGCTTGGAATTGAACCCAGTCCTCTGGGAGAGCAGCCAGTGGTCTTAACTGCTGAGTCACCTCTCTAGCCCCTGAGATGAGGTTTTTATGTAGCTCTGGCTGGTCTAAAACTTGCTTTGTAGACCAAGCTGGCCTTAAATCTAGGTGATCCTCCTGCTGGCCTCCTGAGTACTGGTATTATAAGTGTGGGCTACCATGCTCAGCTAAGCTCTCTCACTTTAAAGATAGGGAAAATCGCCGGGCGTTGGTGGCGCACGCCTTTAATCCCAGCACTCAGGAGGCAGAGGCAGGTGGATCTCTGTGAGTTCGAGGCCATCCTGGTCTACAAAGTGAGTTCCAGGACAGCCTCCAAAGCCACAGAGAAACCCTGTCTCGAAAAAAACAAAAAACAAAAAACAACAACAAAAAAAAAAGATAGGGGGCTGGAGAGATGGCTTAGAGGTTAAGAGCACTGTCTGCTCTTCCAGAGGTCATGAGTTCAATTCCCAGCAACCACATGGTGGCTCACAACCATCCATAATGAGATCTGGTGCCCTCTTCTGGCCTGCAGACATACATGGAGGCAAGATGTTGTATTCATAATAAATAAATAAAAAAAATTAAAAAAAAAAGATAGGGAAAATCACACATCAAGTTAGAGCCAGGACTTGAACCCAGGACTTTCCTTTTTTATTTGTAAGGAAGCAGGCACACATGTGCCACGGCACACATGTAGAAATCAGAGGATAACTAGTGGGAGTTGATTCCCTCCTTCTACCAAGTATGTCCTGGGAATCAAATTCAGGTTGCCAGGCTGGGTAGCAAGTGCCTTCATCCCTTTATCCATTAACCCAACTTGCCATCCCTGGGGCTACCTGGAATAGCTTCCCCTGTACACTTTGAGTCCCTTTGGGACTCACGATCACAGGCCTCTATCAACAAGGTCCCTTAATGCCTAGGAACCCAAGGCAAATCAGGAATGGGGATTCCTGGATCCACCCTACCAGCACAGGGAAATAGCCCTTCTGGGTCCAGGAGAGAATAAAACTTCCTTTGTCTTTTTCATTTTTGTTTAAGTCCTTTGTTGTTTGGGGGGGGGTGGAAGTGGTGGTGTTACTGCCTGCATTTTGGGCTTTTGCTTTGAGACATGGCCTTGCTATGTAACTCATTGTGTATCCCAGGCTGGCATCAGGCTCACAGCAATCCTTCTGCCTCAACTTCACATGTGCTGAAATTACAGGCATAGGCTCCATGCCCAGCTATGTTTCGTTTGTTGAAACAGAGTCTCACTTGGACAGCCCAGACTAGCCTCAATGTTTTGATCCCCCTTCTATAGCTTTCTGAATCTTCCCTCCCATCTTCAAAAAGAAAAGCAAGGTTTTGCCTCTTGGTGTAACCAGAAATCCCTCTCCCCATTCAGAAACTGCTCATCACACTGCACTTGTCTATAGCATTGGGCAGGCTGCTGCCTAGAAGCTCCCTGCCAGAGTCTGGCAGATCTGCAGAGTTCCCTCTGGCCCCTCCCAATCTAGCACCGTGCTTGGCCCGCTATAGGCAGGCAAGGCTGTTTGAAGAATGTACCTTTCACATGTACAAGGCTTACAGATCACATGCCTCCTGGCACTCGCTCAGATCTCTTCACACCTGCTTACCATTCCCATTTCATAGAGAGAAATAATACCCTCAAGGAGAAGTAACTTGCCAGGGTCAAGCAGCCTGAAAATGATAAAATCCCCGAGTCTACTACATGCCTTTGTCACACGGCTATTCATGTGATACCCCCTAGGCTAGTTTGCACCTGCCTACCACATTTTAGACACCACCCCAGTCAAAGCAGGCCTTTTCCCACCAGGACCACTCAGAATAGAAGTGGGGCACACTTAGGGGAGTGTCGGCAAATGGAAAACTGAATACCCTGGCCCACAGAAACCCAGACTGATCACCTCAGCTCTGCTGTCCACCCTCCCTCCTCTCTCTAAGGGGCCTTTTCTGCTTCCAGGGGTGTGCCAGGCAAGAAGTGTGGGACCATACTGCTGACTGCTGAGGAGCTCAGCAACTGTCGGGTCAGTAAAGGCCACACACTAGACCACAAACTCCTTCATTCCCCAGACTCCTTCCCTGGACCCTCTGAAGACTCTGGGCTAGTTGGGTCTCAACAGCCCCACTCTATTGATCCTTAGGACATTGCCACCATGCAGCTGTGTGCAAACAAGCTGGACAAAAAGGACTTCTTTGGAAAGTCAGACCCTTTCCTTGTGTTCTACAGGAGCAATGAGGATGGCACGTGAGTCACCCCCATACAACATGGAGACTAGGAATGTGGCCCATGCTTAATGAGTGGGGAATCTTGGGAATCCCTATAAGTAGTGGTCTCAGTGCCACTTCAAGGCATTTTCCAGTTTCCTGCCTCCCTACAGGTTCACCATCTGCCACAAGACAGAGGTTGTGAAAAACACCCTGAACCCAGTCTGGCAGCCCTTCAGCATCCCTGTGCGGGCACTGTGCAATGGAGACTATGACAGGTCTGGTTCAACATCAGTTCTTCTTTCAGGGAGCAGGACATGAGTGAGGCTCCCTCTGAAAAAAGAATGAGGTTCCCAAACCCCAGAATGAGGAATAGTAGATGAAAGAGCAGGTGAACAAATGAGTGAGCAGATATAAGAATACAGAGTCTGGCCGGGCATTGGTGGTGCACGCCTTTAATCCCAGCACTAGGGAGGCAGAGGCAGGCGGATCTCTGTGAGTTCGAGGCCAGCCTGGTCTACCGAGCGAGTTCCAGGACAGCCTCCAAAACAAACAGAGAAACCCTGTCTTGAAAAAAACAAAAAAAAAAAAAAAAAAAAAGAATACACAGTCCGATGGGCAGATAAACTGGGAATGGTTGGATACTGTGGAGAAACTGAATGGTGGGCTGTGTGTGTGAATGGATATATAAAGGGGTGGTGGGTGGGTAGAGAAGGAAATGATGAAAGCATAGAAAATGAATAGAATATTAGACCAGGAGGTATATCAGCAGATGGGTTGAGGATGGATAATTAACAAATGGAGATGTGATAGATGACCATGTAAGAGTTGACAAATGACTAGACACATGAATGAAAAATCAAGTAGAATAGAAAAGGAAAGGTACAATGACAAGTGGATTGATGGCCAGAGAGATGAATCATAAATGGATGAATAGATGATTAGTGGATGAATCAGTTGATGGATGTGTTAAAGGAGGTGGCTGACCCAAAGGAACTACTGAGTGGGAGGTACAGATATTGGTGGGTGGAAGGACTGAAGGGCACCTTAATGGATGGTTATGCAAATGTATAGACAGAAGTTAATATGGTTGGGTATTTAAGTAAGTAGATGAGCAGACAGATGGACGACTGTATGTATTAGAGTTGGTGAATGGTGGGCTGTATAGTTTGATGGGTGAATAGAGATAGCTTAATAGGTAATTGTATTGGCATATATATGAGTAAATGGATGACTACATCAATAGTTTGATGGGCTGAACTTAACAAATATATGAGATAAGGGACAAAGTCTTTGGATCCAGGTGTGATGACACATGTTTGTAATCTCAGGACTCAATAGATTGAGGCAAGAGGATCTTGAGTTTAAGGCCAGCCTTGGTTATACAGCAAGACTGTTGAAGGGAAAAATGACGTTCCGAAAAAAGGGAGAGGGGAGAAAAGAGAGGGAGGGTAAGCTAAGGCCTTGGAAACAGGATATCTGGCTTTAAATATCAGCTCAGGCACTTACTAGCTATGAAATCTTAGCCAAGTTACTTAGATTTCAGGGGTGTGGAGTAGGGGGAGGGTAATGGTAACTTTCTTATACAGAAACATGAACAATAGTACTTATAGAGAATATTTGTTACATTAAATGAGACAGTCTGAAAGCACTCAGAACACTGCCTGGAATAAAGTGAGATTCAAATGACATGTGTGAGTGTGTGTGTGTGTGTGTGTTTGTATGTGTGTGTTTGTGTGTGTGTGTGAGGGGGGAAGGGGGGTTTCCGTAACAACAATGGTAACAAAGTAAGTGGTCAGGTATGTGCTGAATGAAAGGGCAGAAGGTTGAAAATGAGCAACTGATAGGACAGACAGACGGATGGGGGAATGACTAGAGTGTGGGTAGGTGGCTGTGGTGTCCCTAGGGTTTGGGTGTACACACAGCCCATGTCTGGATTTGTCATGTGTGTTTCAGAACAGTGAAGATCGACGTCTATGACTGGGACCGAGATGGAAGGTAGATAATGAGCTGATGTGCTCTATGTCCTGTGCTCACTGGTGCGGTTCCTAGACCATGTGGTACATTGGCTAGGAACCTCACAGCAGTTCTGGGAGCCAGAAGGGTGATGACAGACACACAGCCACAGCTGACTTACTAGATAGCTCTCTGGCACACTGTCTTCCACCTTTTTCTTCCCCATCTGGCCCCAGCCCTACTGTCCTTAGCCCAAATTAGGAGCTCTAGGATTCTGCTTACCCACCCATGGCCTCATTGCAGCCATGACTTCATCGGTGAATTCACAACCAGCTACCGGGAGCTGAGCAAGGCCCAGAATCAGTTCACAGTGTATGAGGTGAGAGTGTGGCCCTGTTGTTTTGCCTGGTGCTCTGTCCTAGGCAGCTGGGTATCATAGTCACTGTCACCATCCTCTACTTAGGTACTTAACCCTCGGAAGAAATGTAAGAAAAAGAAATATACCAACTCGGGGACTGTAAGTATTCCCTGAACTCTGGCCTCCCCAGATCCTTCTGTTTCTGTCAGTGGTGACATGCAAGACAGAGAATGGGGTAGGATAAGGCAGTAGACACAGATTACCTAGGACAGTAACGCTGAGGACAAGGTGACACCATTGATCCTGTTCTTTCTCACACAGGAAAATTTCCTATTGTTACACTTTTGCAGAATTTTAAAAAACACCCTAAACTGCATTTCCAAATGTGAAATGCTTTTGGAAATCCCAGGATACAATGACAGCTTCTCCCTTTATTTTTTCAGAGACTGGGCAGGGTGGGAGAAGCTGGGCAGGAGTGGAAAATGCATGTCCCATCATGCTCTTTTCTCCAAAGCTCTACTAGGTTCCCCTCTTCTGCCACTCAGCTGTGCTTGCAAAAGTGGCAGGGCTGCCTCTTGTGTCCCACAGGTGACACTCCTTTCCTTCTCTGTGGACTCAGAATTCACTTTTGTGGATTACATCAAGGGAGGGTGAGTCATGGGCCAAGCCAGCAGTGAGTTTTCTCACTTGTGAATGGTCAGGGCCCAATGAACTTCGCTTCTCTGAATTTCACTTTTCTCCTCTGTAAAATAGATGTTTTAGTTATTATTTCAGGATCACAGTGTTACATTAAACTACATACAATACCCTAGTCATGAGAATAATCAGCCAAAGTGTGAGCCATGAACCAGCAGCAGTACTTGGTTCTTTGTTGACTCCACCCAGACTGCCTGAATTACAATCTGCAGTTTAACATGAGTCTGTGTTTGGGAAATACTGATGTCAGAGGTATTGGTCCCTCACTAATCGACCCATCTGCTTCTCCACTAGGACACAGCTGAACTTCACAGTAGCTATTGACTTCACTGCTTCCAATGGTGAGACAAGGGTGAGGTTGTGGGGATGTGTAGAGTCTAAGGGATTCGTTAAAGATTGGCCTGGATTCCTACCTGGGCTAAGACTTTAACTACCCAAGAAAACTATACTTATATAAAGTCAAACCAGGATGGCACTTGAACAGGAGTGGTGAAGGGAAAGTACTGGGTTCAAAGGTGGACAGAGGGTACAGGAATACGATGGGTATCCAGTCAGATAAGGTTAAAAATCTAGATTTCTCATTTGGCCAGTGAGGAAATGAATGGGGTGGGAGAAAATGTGGTTATCAGGAGAGGATAAAAGGATTGGTGGGTGGTTACTTACAAGGATAAATTAATAGGTAGTGGATAATTAATCAATGGACAAATAAAGGAATAATCATGGGGAGGATTGGTGAATGAGTGCACCAAGGGGCATGTAGGTGTGTGCATGCCTGTATAGGCAAACAGCTGTTTTAAGTTGAGGAAGTAACAGACAGGCACATTGGCTAGGAGAATCAGGCAGGGGAATGGATCCATATGAAAAAAGAATGGAATGGGCAGGGATGGCTGAATAGATAGACTATTCTGAAGATGGAAAGGAAGAGAAATAACAGGTATGCAAGAGGCTGACTGCATGGATAGATGAGATGATACAAAAGTAGATGGATTGAAATGAACAAACAAGTTGAAAACTGAATTTGCCGCCTGGCAGATGGATGGGAGGATGTGTGGGTAGATGGGCGACCATGAAATACAGTGTATAAGACATACAGAAGCAAGTGAGAGTTTCAAGAAGGGTGCAGGAACAGATGGATGATGGAGTCACACACAGACTGAGGGAGTTCATGGGTAGAGGTAGAGAAATTGATTGGTGGGTGGATGAATACAAGGTTGGGCAGGTGACTGTGAGGTCTGAGCGCCTGTGTCTCTACAGGGAATCCCCTGCAGCCTACCTCGCTGCACTACATGAGTCCCTACCAGCTCAGCGCCTATGCCATGGCCCTCAAGGCAGTGGGAGAGATCATTCAGGACTACGACAGTGACAAGCTCTTCCCAGCCTATGGCTTTGGGGCCAAGCTGCCCCCAGAGGGGCGGATCTCGCACCAGTTCCCCCTGGTACAGTATGGGCCAGAGCCTCCACTCAGTGCCCCTCAGTTGACGGATCACTTCTGTTAATGCTTTGTGAAGGGCACAGCCAAGGAGGAGCTGTGAGACAGTGACAGGACAGGGCGGTGAGGGGGTGTGGAAAAGATGTGAAAGGGTCTTAGGGTGGGAGTGAGCTGGGATCAGAGCACTCCTGGGTGTCCTCTGTGTGGCCTTAGCTTGGCTGAACCTCTTTTTTGTCAGAACAACAATGATGAGGACCCCAGCTGTGCAGGCATTGAGGGCGTGCTGGAGAGTTACTTCCAGAGTCTGCGCACAGTGCAGCTCTATGGTCCCACCTACTTTGCTCCTGTCATCAACCAGGTGGCCAGGTAAGGGGACTGGTGGCAGTAAAGGAGGAAATGATTGGACTCAGACACAGGCAGACCCACACTCTGAGTGAACTTGGGTTTTGGGAAGTGATCCAGGATCAGGTACCAAGACAGTACTCTCTGCCGGTGCTTAGAAAGAGTGTCAAGAAACATCCTTAGCTGCTGCCTGAGAGACACATCCCAGGCCACAAGATGGCCTTGATGGCCTTGGCTTTGCCTAAGAGACAGAAAAGTCTGTGGGACAATGGTGATGGCAATGGCTTTGCCACTAGACATGGGTGTGTGCCTGGCACTCACCAGGGACCTTAAGTAACTTGTTTTCTTTTTCCTTTCCTTTCTTTCCTTTTCTTTTCTGAAAAAGGGTCACATATAGACCAGGCTGTCCTGGAACTTGCTATGTTGGCAAGGCTGCCCTTGAATTTCCGATCCTCCTGCCTCCACCTCCTAAGTGTTTGGGATTACAGGTGTGACACTACCATGGCTGTTAGCTTAGCCTCTGTCTTAGTCATTGTGCCATTGCTGTAAAGAGACACCATTACCAAGGAAGTTCTTATAAAAGGAAAGCATTTAATTGGGGACTTGCTTACAGTTTTAGAGGTTGTCCATTTTCATCATGGTGGCACATAGGTGGACATGGTACTGGAGAAGTAGCTGAGAATTCTACATCCTAATTCATAGACACACAGAGAAACATGGTGATGCCTCTAAGCCCACCCCCAGTGACACACTTCCTCCAACAAGGCCACACCCTTTAATCCTTCAAATCCTTCTAAATAGAATTACTCCCTGATCACCAAACATTCAAATATATAAGCCTATGGGGGCCATTCCTATTCAAACCACCACAGACTCTTTTTGTTTGCTTGTTTTTGTTCTTTGGGTACTTTTTTTTTTCAGACAGAGTCTCAGTATGTAGTCCTGGATGTCCTGGAACTCACTATGTAGACCAGGCTGGCCTCAAACTCACAGAGATCCACCTGCCTGTGCCTCCCGAGTGCTGGGATAAAAGGCATGCACCACCAATGCCTGCCTCTCTTCCTTCTTTTTGTCTGTCTGTGTTTTACACAGGTCTCACTATGTAGCCAAGGCTGATCTCTAGCACCATGCATAGTCCAAGTAACCCACCTACTTCAGCCTTCCAAGTGCTGCCATGACATACCTGCAATTTAGTTGCAAAGTTATTGTGAAGTTAGGTAGCAAAAAGAAATTACTTTTTAAAAAGATTTATTTAAGCCGGGCAGTGGTGGCATACACCTTTAATCCCAGCACTAGAGAGGCAGAGGCAGGCAGATTTTTGTGTGGGTTCCAAGACAACCTCCAAAGCAATACAGAAAAACCCTGTCTCGATAACCCCCCAAAAATTATTTATTTATTATGCATACAGTATTCTATTTATTATGCATACAGTATTCTGCCTGCATGTATGCCTGCAGGCTAGAAGAGGGCATCTCTTTTTTTTTTTTTTTGGTTTTTCCAGACAGGGTTTCTCTGTAGCTTTGGAGGCTGTCCTGTAACTCACTTTGTAGACCAGGCTGGCCTCGAACTCACAGAGATCCGCCTGCCTCTGCCTCCTGAGTGCTGGGATTAAAGGCGTGTGCCACCAACGCCCGGCAAGAGGGCATCTCATTACAGATGGTTGTGGACTACCATGTGGTTGCTGGGAATTGAACTCAGAGCTCCGGAAGAACAGCCAGTGCTCTTAACCTCTGCCATCTCTTTAGCCTGTGATTGACAGATAGATAGATAGATAGATAGATAGATAGATAGATAGATAGATAATTATATAAGAGGTAACAGTATAATATCTGACCCATAAAGTACACGATACGTGATAGGTTAAAACTATGCAAAATTTCATAATAAATATAAGCAATGAAAACCCAGATTCACCAGCAGGTGGTGTCACACACCTTTAATCCCAGCACTCGGGAGGCAGAGGCAGACAAATCTTTGTGAATTCAAAGTCTGCCTGGTCTACAAAGCAGGTTCTAGGACAGCCAGGACAGTTATACAGAGAAACCCTGTCTCAAAAAACAAACAAAGAAAAAGTAATGGCAGAAATGGTGGCACACACTTATAATTCCCATACTTACGAGCTGAGGCAAGAGGACATCAAATTCAAAGCCAGTCTGAGCTATATATGGACATCCTGTCTCAAAAACAAAACAAATTAACCATTGCATGCTGAATAAAAGAGATCTAGCTAAGAGGGTTGGAGAGATGGCGCAGCAGTTAAGATCACTGGCTGCTCTTCCAGAGGTCCTGAGTTCAATTCCCAGCACCCACATGGTGACTCACAACCATCTGTAGTGGGATGTCATGCCCTCTTCTGGCATAAAGGCATACATGCAGATAGAGTACTCGTATATAAAATAAATAAATCTTTAAGGAGATCTAGCTAAAACAAAGTGTCTTAGGGAGCCTGGGAGTAAAGGAATGGGAGTAAAGGCAGTAAATGGAAGGTGTGGGTATACTCAGTTGGCAGAGAGCTTGCCTAGCCTGCATGAGGCTCTGGGATCAGCCCTCAGCACTCCATAAACCAGGTGTGGTGGTACATGTCTGTAATCCTAGCATTTTGGAAGTAGAGTCAGGAGAATTGGAAGCTCAGGTTCTTCCAAAGCTATAGAATGAGTTCAAGGATAGCCTGGGCTACAGGTGACCCCCATCTCAAAAAAAACTAACAAAAATACATAGTAAAGGTTTTCTGAGAGATTTTTAGGTCCATAAACTTCCCATTCCCTATAGAAGATTGGTTCCCTACTTCTTTCTGGTACATAATGAAGATATTAGTTACTTTAATTATAAAACTAACAATATTCCTGTAAAAAATCTTAAGGACAGGGAAGTGAACATTTTAAATAAAAGCAGGGCATAATGGTGCACACCTTTAGTCCCAGCACTGGGGAGGCTGAAGCAGACGGATCTATTGAGTTTGAAGTCAGCCTGGTCCACATAGTGAATTCCAGGCTAGCTAGGACTACATAGTGAAACATTCTCTTAAACAAAAAAGGAAAAATAAAAGACAGAATGTGTTACAATCAGATCACATAATATTTCACAATCAATGTTTGTCACTAATTTTGGAGTCTGATCATTTTGTTATTTTTATGAAACAGACTTCTTAGACCTTATCTTGGGCAACTACACTGATTCATTCACTCATTTATTTAGTAAATATTCATTTAAGGGTAATTCTATCAAAAATGTAGATTCTGGAATAGTTAATACATCAGTGCTCTCTCCCTCTCTCCCTTCTCCCCTCCCTCCCTCCCTCTCTCTCTGAGACAGGGTCTCCTGTATCTCAACTTGATGTATCCAAGGATAATATACACCTCCTGATCCCCCTGCCTCTGCTTCCCTACCTTTCCAGTGTTGGGATTACAGGTGTGCCCCCACTAAACTCAACTTATGTGGTGCTGGGGAGCAAACCCCCAGCCTAGAGCTAGGCAGGCTACCAACTGAGCTATTACCCCAGTACATTGATCATACAGTGTCATATACTGGCTTTGTGGCTTTGGTCAATTCTCTTACCACTCTGTAAAATGAGAATGCGAATGCTAAGAATATTCACATTGCAGGGCTGTTATGAGGACTCCTTAGCATACGTCAAGCACTCACAAGAGTGCTAGCCCTTGGTAAGTGCTGTAACGGTAGTTATTACTGTTCCTATTATTATCATTATCACTATTCAAAGGGCAGCTGCTGTTGCTCAGTTCTCTGCTGGGGCACTGGGGACTCACAGATGAATCGGATTTAGTCCTTGCCCTCGGGAGCTCCCGCCTTGGTGCAGGAGAATGAAATATAAATAAATCATCACTTCTTTGGCCAAAGCTCCCCAGAAATTTCTAGCAAGTTGCCTGGTGGCAAAAGTAAGACACTGCATTCCCTGAGGGTGTTGGGAGGGAGATAGAGGGCACAGCTGAAAGCAGTCAGACTGTGAGGGACTTTGAAGTCTTGTGTTTCATCTTACAAACACATGCAAACTTTCTGTTCTTCTCCCATTGTGTCTGTGTTTGCTCTAATTATGGTTTTGAAAAAGGAACTCTGAGTGCACTTCATTTCATCCCCTGGCTTCATCCACACACAGGACAAATTCATCCTTGGGTTCCCCCTCAGTACCCTCAAATATAAGGAACCTCTTAGAAAAGTGGAACACCCATCTTTTTTATTTCTTTTAATAAATTATTCATTTTTATTTGCATTGCTATTTTGCCTGCATATATGTATGTATGAGGGTGTCAGATCTCAGAGACAGACAGTTGTGCGCTGCCATGTGGGTGCTGGGAATTGAACCCTGGTCCTCTGGAAGAGCAATTGGTGCTCTTAGCCGCTGAACCATCTCTCCAGCCCCCAGAACACCCATCTTAATGGATAGGGCTACATCCTAGAGGCTAGGAGTACAGGTTACAACAGAGGGGCTGCTCAGCTGGGTCTACAGGGTGAGCTGGCCTTCATCAGGAGAGGGCCTGGCAGTGCTGACAGAGCTGCTGAGTGACAAGTTCGGGAGATGCTGGGTGGTGAGGCACATGGAGCAGGGCACAGGAGCAGGCCAGCGCAGACAAGAATGAACACCAGCTCCTTTGCCCCTGGGGACTGCTGCTTAGTGTTTCTGAACTTCAGTTTCCTTGTTTTAAAAATAGGATAATCTGGGCGGTGGTGGTATACATCTTTAGTCCCAGAACTCAAGAGGCAGAGGCAGACAGATCTCTGTGAGTTCCAGGCCAGCTTGCTCTACAAAGTTCCAGGATAGCCAAAACTACATAGAGGAACCCTATCTTGGAAAAAAAAAGGATAAACTGGGTGAGATAGTATACACCTGTAATCCCAGCAACCAAGGCAGTAGGATTGCTGAGAGTTTAGAAGCCAGTCTGAGCCATGCAGTAGTTTTAAGCCAGCTCATGTTACTGTTCTGTGTAGTCCTTAGAACTGTCTTCAGTAGTCAGGCTTTTAATTTGGAATGAGACAGTTTATTACTAAGTATATAGCAAGGTGGGTGGGTGTGATGGTCTGAGCCATTAGAGGCAGGTAGATCTTTGTGAGTTCAAGGACAATCTGGTCTACAAATTGAGTTTCAGGTCAGTGAGACCTTGTCTCAAACAACAATACCAAAAAAAAACCATATACATCAAGAAAAATCCTTCCTAGGTGTACACTCAGCACCAAGCTCTGTGACCACACAATGCAGTTTACAGTGACTATCTGTGAAATGAACAAGTGATAAAAGATAGCACTAGGGCCAGACCTCTGATGAGAATGGGCAGGAGGGCACAGGGGCTTCCTCACCCACACCACTACAGACCTCAGCACACCATGCAGAACCATCTAACTCTGCACTGTCATCATGCCTTTCTCAGTCTTCTGAGATCATGGTAAGCTACCAGCACTGTCTAAGAAAATGTCCTACAGTGGTAGAAATGGCCTACATCTATGTTTGCCAATATGGTATTCACCAGCCACATGTGGACAGGGAGCCCTTAAGGTAACTAGAGTGACTACTGAATGGGATGTTTCATTTAGTTTAACTTACTTGATTTAAATCTTCATAGTCACATGTGGCTAGGGCCAATGCATTGGGCAGCACAGATGGTCATTTCCAGTCCCCCTAGGACACGATACTGATACTGAGATGGGAGGTCAAGTAAAATAAGTGGGTAGATGGAGGATATCTGCAGCCCTTTCTGAATGAAAAGCCCTGGACTCCAGCACTGGTGATGAGAGGAAAGGGAGCTGATCCATGTGATGGGTCACTACTGTGATCCAGCACCTGACACGTGGAAGCAGGCAGCAGGATACAGGAGTGAGACTCTGTCTTAAATTTATGTACAGAACGGAGAGATGGCAGGCAAGGGCAGTCAGGTCTGCCAAAGAGTGTGGGATCCAGAAACCCTGGGTCTTGCCAACTATTCATATGGTGGCTGTAGAGGCAGAGTTAGAAATGTAAATGATCACCATTTACAACTCTCTGGCTGGCCACTGCATACAGACCTTGGTCTTTCCATGCAGGGCTGCAGCCAAGATCTCGGATGGTTCCCAGTACTATGTTCTGCTCATTATCACTGATGGCGTCATCTCTGACATGACACAGACCAAAGAGGCCATTGTCAGCGTGAGTCTGAGGAGGAAGGCCTGACAGGGAGGGGTCACTGGAGGGGCTGAGATGTTTATTCCATGTGTATCCTAACAACTTCACTTGCCAGTTTCAGAGATGCCTACTGGTTGGGGCACAAACACTTGCCTTTGACTCTCTAGGTCCCAGCATGATGCCAGATGAACCCACTAAGGAAACCTGAGCTTAAGAAATGCGGGTCTTTAAAGTCAGCATGAAGCATGCATGTCCTTTGTCCTGGGGGAGTCCCTTTATTTTTATTTGATTTTAATTTTATTATTGTTTTGTGACAGCGTCTTACTATATAGACAGGGATCCCTATATAGCCTAGACTGGCCTGAAAAGTGGCAATCTTCCTGCCTCAGCTTCCCAAGTGCTGGGGTAGAGGTGTGAGCCACCATGCCTTTCTACTTTTGTTTGTTGGTTTGTTGGGTTTAGAGGGGATTTAGTTTGGGGGCTTGTTCGTTTGTTTTTGAGTCAAGGCCTGACTACGCAGCTCTAGACAACCTGGAACTAGCAAAGGACCAAGCCTTGAAATCACCTTGATCCTCCTGCTTCTGCCTCCTGAGTCTTGGAGAATAAGCATATTTTCCATGCCTAATATGACTATTTTGCTGTCATTAGGGTTTCTTTGTTTTGTTTTAAAATGGGGTGTTACACTGTAGTTCCAACTGGCCTAGAATTCATTATTTATTCATTATTTAACCCATGGTAGTCTGGAACTTGTGGTGATCCCCCTGCCTCAGCCCCATGAGTATTAAGATTGTAGATGAATGTCACCATGTCTGTCAAGAAAACCTTTTTTAAATGATACTGGAAATATTAAATGTCAGCCTGAGATAGAGTGAGGCTTTTGTCTCAAACAAACAAGATAATAGATATAAATCAGTAGGCTATATGTTCCACAAAAGGCACCTGCTATGCATTCAGAGATAGTCTGGAACCAAGGAGCATATGACACATACAGACGCCCTAGTCACTTCCCTGTTACAGCTGCTTACTCAGCCATTCCTCTCCCTACAGGCCTCCTCACTGCCCATGTCTATCATCATTGTCGGTGTCGGACCTGCCATGTTTGAGGGTAAGTGGAATGGTGTATGTTCATGGCAGGACTAGGAACTGGAGAGCAGGAGGGATCTAGGCACTCAGGTCCTTTCTCACAGACAGGACAAACTGGCACCCTGATGAAGTCAAATATGTTTCCTCTCCATAACCATGGCTGATGGTATAACACTTTTGTCTGCCTTCCCAGAATGGGACATGCAGGAAGGAAGGCATAGTAAGGATAATAACAACAATTCCACACCACCGTGGATGCACGCATCAGGTCTCCTCACGAGGACTTTGAAGGGCTCTAATGGGGAAGGGAAGAATAAGTTGGAGTTGGAGAGACCCATCTAAGGATGCCTGCCTGTCTGTTCTGCAGCAATGGAAGAACTGGACGGTGATGACGTACGCGTGTCCTCCAGGGGACGGTATGCAGAGCGGGACATCGTTCAGGTAGCCCCAAGAGTAATGAAAGCACAGAGAAATAAGAAGAAGGAAAGGCTTCCTAGGATCTACTCCCCTTACTCCTTCCTAGTCACTACCTTTTTCCCTTCACTCTTTCAAACCTTCCTCATTCATAGAGCAAGTTCCTTTTTTGTTTGGTTGCTGTTGCTTTACTTGTGAGACAAGACATTGTTAGGTAGCACAGGCTGGTCTGGAACTTCTGACCCTCCTTCCTTAGCCTCCAGAGTGCTGGGTTACAGTGCTGCAACACGTCATCAGGCTTTGAACAGTTCTTTTGGGTGGATAAAGCAGGTTGCAGCTATTCTGAAGGTTGGTCAGTATAGGAGGGCCATGTCCTTGCCCTCTAGCGGAGATGACCAGTATTACACAGACAGCCCAACAAGCAAATGCTGCTGTTAAAAGCCCACAGTAGCCAGGGAAGGCTTCTGTGAGGCTGTGATGTTGACATGGAATTGAAACCTGAGGAAGGTATCAGCTTCACAGGCAGAGAAACAACCTTTAAGACCTGCCAGAGGCTCAGACAAGACTGACAGGGTTGTCTGCTATGGTAACTATCTAAGGTTTGATAGGCTGAATGCATTCTTAATTATATATCCATCTGTGTATTATTTATTGATTTTTAACAGAACTTTCTGTGTAGCCCTGGCTAGCTCAGAATTCATGGCAGTCCTACTGCTTCAGCCTCCTAAGTGCTAAGATTATAGATGTGTGCCGCCATGCCCAGCTCAAATGACACTGTAAAAGAATTTCCCCGGCTGCTGCCCTGTGGTGTGCTGTGGCAGGGCCAGGGATAAGCCAGGAATCCATTAGCAAGCAGCAAGGATGACTGGGGATGCGTGGAGACAGAACAATGGTCATGGTCAGAAGGAACCAATTCAAAAGGTGTTTAAAGGCTAGAAGGCAGTTCCGTTAGTAGAGTACTTGTCTACTGAGCATGAGGCCGGGGTTTGATCTCCAGCTCTGCATAAACCAAACATGTGCCTGCAAGCCCAGCACTTGGGGTGGAGGCAGGAGAATAAGAAGTTCAAGGTCAGGCCAGTGAGGTGGGGGTTAAAAGTACTTGCTGAGTTAGATTCCTGAGATCCCATGTTAGGAGAGAACCCACTCTAAAGTTGTTCTCTGCCCTCCACGTGTGCACTGAGGCCCACTCGTGCCTGCATTCACACATGCACATTGAATATATACAATAATAATGACAATAAGAAATCACTTCTCAAACTTCAAGGCCATTTTGCTATACAGTGAGATCAAGGCCAGTGTGAGTCCTAAATGAGACCCCGTCTGAAAAAAAAGAAAAATTGTTTAAGAGCTGTTCATGGAGGGGTGTGTGTGTTGTGTGTGGTGTGTGTGTGTGTACACATGCATGTAATTCCTGAATTCCTGTATTCAGAGTCTAAGGTAGGAGGACTGAGAGTTCCAAGCCAGTCTAGGCTATCTCAAAAACAAAAACAAAAACAAAACAAAACAAAAACAAGAGACTTACCATGTTACAAGACTTGATAACTTGTTAGGACAGTGATAAGGAATTGAGCGGCAACTTCAAGAACGAGTAACAGTTTTCCAGTGAGCGATGTCCCACTGGCTGGGTAGAGGAAAGCTAGGGTAGGTGGTAGAGCAAGAAGGTCTGATATTTAACTAGTGACACTGGCCTTGGGGGATCTGTGATAACCAAAAGAAGAAGTAGTGTTAGCAACTAAATATGTGGTTCTGGGCCGGGGTTAGGCAGTGGCTACAGCCCTAACATGTTAGGAGTCTGAGACAGGAGGATTACACACAGTGAGATCCCAAGTTGAAACAAAACAACAAAAGAAGCAGCCAAGGACAGAGGTAAATATGGGGCTCCAGGGGCGTCTTTCTTCCTCCTTTTACCAACCTCCTCTCCCAGGCAGACTGCCCCTCCCCTTTCAATCGCAACAACTCGCCTGCTCTCCCACGCTCCCATCCACTCTTCCCTAGCACTCGGGAGGCAAAGCAGTGGACCTCTCTGAAGGCCAGCATGGTCTACGAAATGACTAGCTAGGGCTACTTTATGACAGCCAGGGCTACATGGAGAAACCCTGGAGGGGAGGGAATAGGTTGAGAGCACAGGAAGACCCAAGGGAACAGGGGTGGGGGGGTGGGGGTAGGGGGTGGGGGTGGGGGAGGTGGGATGGAATACAGCTTCCAGAAAAGTAGGAAAGAGTGGGGTGTCAGGAGTGGGATGGGGCTGCAGATGTGGTTCAGTGGTAGAGAGCTTTTGCATACACAAGATCCTGGGTTCAGTCACCAGTGTCCCACACAAAGAAGTGGGATGTATCTAGCAAGATGGTATTCAAAAGTGATAAAGCTAACGAGACTCTCAGAAAGATGAATACTGAAAATTACTACCCACTGCACTGGTTTAGCTTCATAGGGCTACGGATGACATTAGCAGTGCTAGATGAAGCCAAATTAAAATGAGTTGACAGTGAATAGAAAGTGGGGTCAGAGGTAGGGAGTGGGTGGGAAAAAACAGATGTAGAAAACAGTTCGATATTAAGGGAGAAGAGTGGTACTTGGAAAGACATGTTAGGGGTCAAAGGTGAAACCTGAGTGCTAACCACTCCCTTGGCCAGAGCCTACAGCTCCTTTCTTGTCTGTCCCAGTTTGTCCCATTCCGAGATTATGTTGACCGATCGGGGAACCAGGTGCTGAGCATGGCACGCTTGGCCAAGGATGTGCTAGCTGAGATCCCTGAGCAACTGCTGTCCTACATGCGCACCAGGGACATCCAGCCTCGGCCTCCACCTCCTGCCAACCCCAGCACAACCTCAGCTCCAGAACAGCCCTGAGGACTCCACATATCCAATGCTTAGTGTTCTGCTTACCTGCCCACCCTCTGGAAGCTAAAGGTACCTGGAGTTCTGGACCTCGCCAGAAGAGTCATCTCAGGTGATCAGTGCTGGCTGAAAAGCTTTTTGCCCCCTGACTACAGAAAGGCCTGGCATGATCACCACCTACCTGCCTCATGCCAATAATAAAGCAGATCTTACTTCATCTGTTTCATGGGTGTTGGAGAGGGAGACTCGGGGACCCAGCACCTGGGGTCTCACCTAGAGGGAGGGATCAAAGATAGCTTCAGCTAGGTTAGCATCCATCCTAACACACTGATCCAGTCACTTCTATATAAAATTTCAAATAGTTTTTAAAAAACGTGTGTGTGTGTGTGTGTGTGTGTGTGTGTGTGTGTATTTGAATATTTTTTCCTCAGGAGAGACCCATAGCTTTCATCAAATTCTCAAAGGGGTTCCTCACCCCAAAATAGCTAGCCTTAAGACAACAGTGCAGTCCTAGCAGTAACAAGCCTGTAATCACAACAGCAACAAATTTTAAGAAAAAGTGGTGGTGCAGATCTCTTAAGTCTGAGGCGACAGCCTGTTCTACAGAGTGAGTTTCAGGACACTCAGAGCTACATTGAGTAACCTTGGCTCAAAAAAGAAAAAAAGAAAGAAAGAAAAAGCACTGTCGGGTGATAGAGCCAGTAATGGATCCCTGGCCTTGTGTGTACAAAGCCCTCAGTTCCATGGGGGTCAGGGGAAACCTATATAACTCTTTTACTTATTTATTCTGGTTGTTTTGTTTAGATAAAGTCTTGCTGTGTAGTAATCAGCCTCACCTGGCACTCATAGGCAGTCCAGGCAATCCTATCCCAGCCCTCATGAATGCTGAGATTACTAGCTAATTTTGAATTTTCTGGATGAGTATAATAGCTAGTATTTTCTTTGCAAATACGAGTCCAAACATTAGACTGTTAGACGATTTACAGACCTCATCTGTTTTAATCCTTAACATAACCCCAGGGCAAAGGTACTATATATTACCCCATTTGATAACTAGGAACCGAGACTGAGCTACACTAAGCCATTATTTACGAGAAATCCCAGTTTTACTCCAGACCCCACGATTTAAACAAACAAGTTCCTGGAGTGCCGGTTCTATTGGCATTTGTCGATGGAAGGGCGTGGTGTATGAAAACCAGCGCTTTAGTGTGCTGAATACCAAGTCTACATGAAGATAAAACTGAAGTTTTCAGGGAGTCTAACACCTTGGAAGATTTTTTTCATACTTTCAATGACAAAACTGCAAACACTGCTTAACAATGATGACCCTGACGTACAAGTTATCTGAAGCCCCACGAAATGATAGAAGAATTTTCGAGCTCTGGGTTTACAAACAAGGAACTCGAAGAAGAATTCTACAACTTTCCCACGTTCACACTGAAAGTGTCAGTCATAGTCAATGGGCTGTGTGTTTTGACACCGTCTTCCAATCAGCAACCAGTAACCATGTAGTCTAGCGCTGCCAATCTAAATCCCTCCGCTTTACCGTAAAGCACCAGGAACCTCCCCAAACTCAGTTCCATCGTTGAGCCACGCCTTCCCTCCGCCTCGTCACCTTTCCGTTCCACACTACGTCTGCAGCCCCGCCCCTTGCTTCCCTAAGTCCCGCCCTTTCCCTGCAGCTTTGTTGGGGTTCTTTCCTAGTTGTGTCTTTCTCCCTGATTCAGCTCCACCTTCCAAGCTCATCCAAAGCTCCGCCCTGTCTTTCTCGGGAGCCTCGGGCCCACTCTTCCGGCCGCCGAGTAGCATCAAGGCGCCGCTTTCCGGAGGCTCCGCCTCCTAGACACAAGCCCCGCCCATACCGGCCTATTCTTCCTCCGTCGCCCCGCCCCTGCCCATAACTGCGGGCCCCTGCGGCTTCCGTGGCGTCCCTCGGGCTCCGAGCCCTGCCCCCAGCTCCGCCTCGCCTGCGCTCCCGCCCCGTCCCACCCCATCGCCTTCCACAGAGACTAAGGCTAGGTCCCCACCGCAGCCGCCGCGCCAGCAGGAGGGAGGGAGCAGGAGGCGGCAGCAGAGGGGGGAGGGGAAGAAGGGCGGGCTCCTCACGCCCAGCCTCGCGCTGCTCGTCCGTGTTCGCAGATTCGCCACAAACGGCCCGAGGACCCCACCCCCCACCCCACCCGCTTCCCACGCGGCGACTTCAGTCTCCAGAAACTCCCCCTAGACCATGGAGGCACTCCTCTGAACCTATGCGGTGTCCAGACATCTTTTCCAGGCCCAGAGGATGGTCGTTCGCGTCTCGGCGGACCGGCGGGGAGCCGTGGCGAAAGTGCGTCTATGCAGCGCCACGGGGCCGCGTTTACCCAGGCGGACGCCGTCGCCGTCGCTGCTTCTGCTGCTGCCGCTGCCACAGCCTTTGCCGCCACGGTCGCGCTGCCGCTGTCCCTGTGCCGCCTCCGGGAGCCCCCCTTATTGTCCCGGCGGTACCGGGTTCCCTGACCATTAGACCCCAAAGCTCGAGAAACACGAGGGTGCTTGCGGAATTGCGACACTGGGGCGCCGGCGGGACCGGGAGCGGCAGGGGTCAGCGCGGGAAGCCGGGCCAGAGCGTGCGGGACAGGAGCCGGGGTGGCCAGTTCCGCGTCCCGGAGTTCGGGTTTCCCCTTCCCGGCCGGTCTTTGCCCGCTGGCCTCCCCACGCGGGGTCGGAGCCCCGGCGGGCGCCCCCGGCGATGAGCCCGGACTGGAGGTGGCCGGTGAGTACGTGCCGGGGCCGGGCGGCAGTACCAGTGGAGAAGGGGCCACCCAGGAGGGGCGTGCTAGACGCCTCCTAGCCCCTTGGGCGGGGAGAATTGACAGACCATTCGTTTGCGGCGAGCGTCCGCGGCAACAGTGTGTGTCCTTTGGGGTTGCCTGGGCCACTGGCAGGAGGGAACCCTTGTTTGACTTGTTACACTTTGACAAAAAGGAAGCGGCACAGCATCCGGGAGACCGTGCTCGGGCACCGCGGCCCTGGTCCCACCCCCTTGTCCCTTACTTCCTTCAGCTCCTGGAGTTCCTGGGAGTAGATGCTTCCTCCATACCTCTGGGCACCAGGGCTTTCAGAGCTAAGTTCTGGTCACACCTTTGTGCCTCTGACACCAGGTCCCTGGGGGCACTGTGCCAGTTCGGGAACCAGGCCAGCAAAGCCAGAGTGGCAGCGTTCACCAGGGACCCGGCTTGGAAAGAGTTGAGCTTGTTTGTGCCTATAATTGGTTTCGTGTTTAAAGGCACAGCAGCAGCAGATAGGAAATAGAAGTGAGTTGGAGTTGAATGTGTAGCTTGGAAGTCAGAGGCCGTCGACAGAGGGACTAGAACTGCTCACTCTCGTGGTTAAGCCTCAGGAGGAGAGGCTGAAAGTCAGTGTTTGTCAGGGAAGTCAGGCAGGCCTTGTATTGGGGAACCCAAGCACTCTAGTTCACCTCATCCTGAGAGAAATTGGGGCAGTGGCTGACTAAGCTGGGCTCTCTGGGGTTTGGTGCCATCTGCTGTTGCTACTCACCCAGAAACATTGGGGTGGGGGAGGGTTAGCCCTTGAAAACTCTGGAACTCAGTGCCTAGATTTTTATTTTCCTGTTTGTGCCCTTAGGGCCTGGCACTTGGTAGGTCCTGGATTAATGGAGCATGGATCTGTAAATGAGGAAATAAGTGTAGCCTGTGCTGTTTTCTCTGGGCAGATGGCCGTTTTCACATGGTTCCTCCCTCTATCTCCACCCAGTTCCAGGGCTGGAGTGAGGGTCTCCATAAAGACCTCAGTAATACACTGCCTGTGCAGTCCAGTGGTTTCTGTTGGACTCTAGGACTGACCCATTGGCCACTCACTCAGACTCACACATAGGCAACTTTTATCCTTAATCTGATCTCCCTCAACTTCTAATCTGGTGGTCTCATTCAGTTATTCATTCAACAGGCTTTTCATTTATTTGTCAAGGCTTGAGAGTCTAGTGCTTGCTAGGAACTGGGAATTTAGAAATAGATAGGTCTGGTGTCTACTGAAGGTCTCTCAGGAGATTGGGAGAAGACAGAACTGGAAAATGCCACCCTGGAGGTGAGAAGAGACTGCTGTAGAAACAGTTTTTCCATGGGAGAGTCAAAGAAGTCATAGTAAAGGTGTCATTTGAACCAGGTTTTGAAGAATTTGTAGGAGCCCACCAATCAGCATTCCTAATAGCCTTTGTACCTTGAGAGATTGTAACATTTAGGGAATGGTAGGCTGCTGTGTGTGGACAATTGTACTTACTGAGAAGAATCTAGAAAGGACTAGGACTAGAGTGAAAGGAATCCTGTGAATGTTATCCTAGATAGCTTGAATATTATCCTAAGAAGCTGGGGGAGCAGTGGGAGGCTTTTAATCATGTCATTGGTATGATCACTGCTACTTGGAGAGATTTGGCTAAAAGAACCAAGACATAGGCAGGATGACCAAGCAATAGGTCTAGAGGACCTGTGCCAAGACCTTGGTACAGGAGCTGGCACTTGGAGATGCTCTAAAGAGAGGCTGGTGACCTTGTGAGAAGGAAGACTGGAGAAAGTAGGCTGTATGGTGAAGGGACTGGAAGCTCTTGTCAGGTATGTGCTAACTGATCGGTATATTCTAGATGTGACAGCATGGGGGTGGACTTTGATGTGAAGACCTTCTGCCACAACTTGCGGGCAACTAAGCCACCATATGAATGCCCTGTGGAGACCTGTCGCAAGGTTTACAAGAGTTACAGTGGTATTGAGTACCACCTGTACCACTATGACCACGACAGCCCACCGCCCCCACAACAGACCCCACTGCGCAAGCACAAAAAGAAAGGGCGCCAGTCACGACCAGCCAATAAGCAGTCACCCAGTCCCTCTGAAGTCTCACAGTCACCAGGCCGAGAGGTGATGAGTTATGCTCAGGCCCAGCGCATGGTAGAGGTGGACCTGCATGGCCGTGTCCACCGCATCAGCATCTTTGACAACCTGGATGTGGTGTCGGAGGATGAGGAGGCCCCTGAGGAGGCTCCAGAGAATGGCAGCAACAAGGAGAACACCGAGACACCTGCAGCTACACCTAAGTCAGGCAAGCATAAGAACAAGGAGAAACGCAAGGACTCCAACCACCACCACCACCACAGTGCTCCCGCCAGTGCTGCTCCCAAACTGCCTGAGGTGGTGTATCGTGAGCTAGAGCAAGACACCCCTGATG